AAACCAGCTCCTTTGATCCCCTCAGCCAGGCCCCTGGCAGACCTACAGGGCCACAGTTCTAGGCAACTGTGGTTGATTTCTGCTTCTCTGTGGAGATTCTGCTCTCATCAACCAGGGGCAAGGACCCCACCCAGCTTAGGAGGCTGCTCAGGATCCAGTAAGTAGGCCTCAGAAAGCGAGAGCAGCTGGCCAGTGCCATCAGAGTCAGAGAGAAGGGATGCTGTAACATTGAGTGTGCAGAGCCAGTGAGCAGGGTGCCAGCATTGGCTGGAGCCCATCCCTAGCCAGCAGACAGCATGCAGAGTGCAAAGCCCCAGAGGCTGTGTTCATCTCAGGCCAGTAGATGAGGATGAGCTCAAGATGAATCTCTCCAAGAAGCCAAACCAAGCAGGTGTGCTGAATGTTAATTCTGTGGTCTAGTTCTGAACCAGGACCTGGCCAACCCTGCTCCGGAGCCACCAGACACACAGGCTGCCCGCTGGCCAGCATGAAGCCTCTCCTGACTGCCCACTGGCCTCCTCAATTGCTACCAAGATATTCTACTTAACATATTACATACTGCTTAAAAGGATCCCCTTGGTCCCAGTCCTGGGTCACATCATAGGATCAGGGACATCCCAGGTAAGGGCCTGCTGGATCTACTCACCCTGAGAAGTTACTCTACTTCTGAGCCTGTTCCCTACCTATAAACAGGGGTGCTGATGACAAAATATCATCGATGTGAAGGCAACCAAGGGCCTAACAGAAGCTCCTAGCACCCAGCAGGCATTAGGCAAACACTCAGCTGTCCCTTCCCTTTCCCTAGGAAGTAAAAGTATCTTCCTCTTTTCAAAACCAACATATCCAGTTCTCCTCATCCTAGAGGCTGACCCACAGGTCCTTTCCACTTGGGACATCTGAAGAACGGATGAGCTGCTGGCCAATGGTGAGTGTCCAGAGAAAAATGGACAAGAGGGAAAAACGCCCCTCCCTCCACCCAGGAAGTGAGCCCAGTGTCTTGGTCCATTCTGACAGCACCTCTGACTCTTGAGTTTAAGCTATGCCTGGGGCAGTGAGGACAGCTTGCAAATTTTTGGAACTTTAGGCCTGAAGCTCTTTTCTGGACATTGAAGTTCATTCTGAACCTAATGAAAACTACTAGTTTTCTTCCCAGAATGCCCATATACACTGTTGACTATTTTACTGCAAGATGTGGACCCTGCTGCCCAGGTACAGCCTCAGTTCACAGCCACTCAGGCTTGAAGGAGCCAAGCTCTTTCTCCAGTTTTCCCAGAAGCTCGAGAGAATGAGGGCAGCGCAGGCCCCCCTCATAGCAGCAGAGCTCTGTACCTACACCCCTTGGCCATGGCCTTGGACCTGCTATCCAAGCCTTCTCTCTCTCCAGGGAGGAGCCCCTGCCAGCCTCCCTCCTCAACAAGCCTGGAGGGCAGAATTGTGGCTCTCAGGTGCCCAGCTGCTCACTGGCTGCCTGTTAGGAAAGCCAGTTCTTCAGGGAGCCTGTGCTGCCCTCATCTTCTTAGGCACAGCTGTCTGCCCCTGCACCTTTGCCCCCTCCCCTGGGACTGCCAGGGCAAGAAGGCCCCTCTCACCATCTGTAGCTCTAGGATCTTCCTGGCTCCAGGGCTGCTTCAGAGAACAGAAATGGGCCAAGACGAAAAGACCCTGGGTCCACAAGGCCCACGCAACTGAGAACCCACAGGGACAATTAGAGCCCAGGCTTCTGGGTGCTCAGAAATCCTGAATCTGGCTTTAAGAAACCACCTCATGCTTGGAACTGAATGCGTGCTCCCCCAAAAGAGGCTGAGGGGGTGTGTGTCAGGACACGTGTGTGTGCATGCGCACATACGTGAGCACGTGTGTAGCCTGCTACAGCCTTTCTACCCTCCTTACCTCCGCTCATTGCCAAACAGGCGGGCCACCTCTTCCCTGCCAGGGCTCCGGGCCCGAGTCCTCCGTTCTAGCCGCCTTCTCTCCACCTGGAAAGCTTCTCGGTGGCTGATCCTGATGGCCTTGGGGACGTCAGCCAGGGTGGCGTACTGCCTGCTGGCTTTAAAGGCAAAGGTGCTCCCCAGTCTGTCTGTCCCCTGCCCCCCAGGGCTGCCAGAGTCCACATGGGTTGGGGGCCGGCCAGCTGCATCCAGGGAGCCAAGGGAGACGCTGCAGATCATCCGGCTTGGGGGCCGAGGACCTGGGGAAGCAAGAGGATGACCAAGCTCCTGGGAGGGTGACTTGGGGCAACTGTACCTGTTGTCAGGGGTGCTGGGGCTGGGTGGGGAGAGCGGTGGGGGCAGCTGCTGTTCCTCTGCCTTCACATCCTGCTTGGTCTTCTCCAGGGAGAAGTAGCCGCTCTCCACTCGGACTTTGCGGCCACTGTCCATGCGGTCACTGCTCACAGCACCCTCCTCTGGAAGGGAGGCAGGAGGAAACATGCTCAGCCTGCCGCCAGCTCTGCTCTGAGTATTTTCTTAAGAAGTCCACGCAGGGTCCAAGCAGGGGCCATTTCTACCTCCTGTCTCCAGGATCTGGCACAGCTGGTCCAAGTGCAGAGTGAGGAAGGAAGAAGGAAATATTCCACCCATACTCCCCTTACCTGGACGCCTCTCAAATGGACCAGCAGGGTGCCCTGCACTTCTAGTGGGGGGGGGGCTGCCTGGGACAGCTTAGGGGAACCCCAGCTTAGGACATCCCACAAACAAGGAGGAAACCAGCAGCCAACCAGTCCTTCAGGGTCTTAGTGCATCTGGGGCGGGGGGGATGGAGCAGGGGACTTCTGCAGCAGTGAGATTGAGTGAGTGAACTACAGTCACTGAAGTGAGACTGAGAAGCTTCTGTCCAGAGCACATGCAAATGTATTTGGCCTATGCAAGTGGCAAGCCCCAACTGTCCACTTACTTGTCTTTGACAACATGGACAAAATATAAACAAGAAAAGCTGGCCTATATCTTGCAAAGCCCTCTAGGGCCGGGGATGAGGCCCTGCTCTTCTCAGATAAGTCCAGAGTGCTGAGGAAGAGGGCACAGTGATGCCATCGGGGTGGGGGGACAAGAATGCCTTAGTTACTTTTTCTCTCAGGACATGATGGGTGTCCCAGCTCACAGCTACAGACATGAGCAAAGTGATGGAGGAGTAGGTATCCTCACACACAGGCCCTGTGCAGGTGGCTACGAATTTACCTGATGCCCACCTGGAGCTTATAAGCGCTGCCTCTCTCCTTTATAGATGGGGTCTAAGAGCCAGAAGCAGCAAGGCCAAGACCAGAACCCATGCCAGGCTGGGTGTTACCCATGGCATCAACAGACAGAGGTACATGGAGCCACAGGGCTTGCACAGGGCTGCAGGACCAGACCAAGATCCCATTGCCAGTCCACTGGGCACCCAAGCCAGCCTGGCCCTGCTCACCTTCTTTGGTCTCCAGCCCAGGTTCCCGCAGGGAGCTGGCAGTAGGAGGCTGGCCCTGGCCAGGACTCTGAGCTGGACACAGGCTGCTCCCATCTGCCTGGTCCTTGCCCCGCATTTCCTCCTGCCACAGCGTGGACTTGGTAGTGGGGACCTTCTCAGCACTGGGAATGCTGCTGCTGCTGCTGCTGCTGCTGCTGCTGCTGCTGCTGCTGGTAACAGCCATCTTGGCAGGCCCGGGCTCCTGGAGGGGAGGGCGGTGTCAGCCAGGCATGCAGCATGCAGCCAGGCAGTTCACAGGTCCTGCTGTCTGGCTATGAGGACATTTAGGCCAGCTATGCAACCTCAGAGGCCTGGGATTTCCAGAAGGGGAAGCTCCTGCAGGGGCTCTGTGGTGTTTTCATCTCTGCAGCCCCAGAGTGCCCAGTTCCCCCACTAAGATGCACAGGTCCTCCTGACCCACAAAACCAGAACACTCCTCAGCACAGTGGCAGGCACCAACAATAAGAGCACAGTGGCTGAGGCAGAGGTTATCATTCCTAGACTTTGAGGAATGGAGACACAAACAAGAGGAACAGGGCTAGGGTGGGGAGAGAACACACCAAGACAGGCCCAGTGCCACCTGCGGGTCCTCAGGGTGAACACAAAGATCAAGTCCACAGTAGCCCCACCCCACCCCACCCCACCCAGCGGCCTCATCCACCCTCTGCTTTCTGGTTCTGAGAAGGTCCACAGAAGACCTGGACACAATGAGGACAGAGTCATCAAATGCAAAGCAAATGCTACTGTCTGAACGTTTGTGTCCCCCAAATTCACATGTTAAGATCCTAACCTTAGGGAGGTGACTAAGTCATAAAAGTGGAGCCCCAGAGAGTGGCCGTGCTCCTTCCAGCACGTGAGAGCCAGGACAGGGTGGCTTTCCAGCCTCCAATGCTGTGAAAAATAAATTTCCATTGTTTATGAGCCACCCAGTATGTGGTGTTTTTGTGACAGCCTGCATGGACTAGATAAATGGAGTGTACTACCTGCACACACACACACACACAC